CTACATATGATTATTATCGTCCGCAAATAACTGAGCTTTAATTGATGGCTTGAGGTTGAAGGTAATGTCGTTTATTCCTATTAAAAATAGTGTCATGCTCATTACTGATCCTTGTGGGATTCCATTTTGGATTGTAACGGGATGTGAAAGAACTCCATTACTTTGAATGGATCTATTTGATATGAAGTTGACTATGAAGGATAGCATATTCTTTTTCACTATTCACTTTTAACTTGAAGAGAGAACTTGCGATTTTGGATCTCCAGATTGTATCGAAAGCATTTGATATCGAGGCGACTTCATTGAGGAAGATGTTCACAGATGATCACAGATGTTAGATTCCATGTTCATTAGAACATCAATGGTAGAACAATGGCATCGGAAACCGTATTGGTTTGAGTTTAGAAGTTTCTTTAATTCCAGGTATCATCGAAGCCTTCGAAGATTCTAGTTGGTATTTATTAATGCATTTGAGAGATAACTGTTTGAGTTTTGTTTGCTTATGTTTGGCTTAGAAATTGGAATTACTATTGCTTTCTACCAATTTACAGAAAAGACTTTGTGGATCCATATACAGTTGAAGATCTTTAACAGGTAGTTTATTCCGGCTTTTGGAAACATTTTTAGTAGCGAGTTTGAGATATTATCTGGTCCAGGGGCAGAGTTTTTTGTTGATGTAAGGATAGAGCTATTTCCTTGAATGTTAATGGTGAGTTTAACAGTGAGTTGCTATCATTGTCGATCTGATTTTTGTATATATGGGTGTTGGTTGTTTGTGGGATATAGTGAGCTGTTATTTTTGTTGTTTGAGTTTTCTTGAAATTTTTTGGCTAGTGTGTTAGCAATATTGCGAGCTTGAGTTACAACCTTGCTATCATTGGTTTCCAAGAATTGAATATTGGTAGAAAATTGGAATCTATTTACCAGTTTGACTCTTTTCTATACTTCAGATGTTAGAGTTTGAGAATTTATCGATGATACGTAATTTCTCCATGGCTACTTTTTATTTCCTTTAATTGTTCTCCGAAAATTAGCGCGTTTCTTTTTGAACTCGGTTAGATTTTCGTTTCTGGGATGTTTTTTTTGCGTGAATGCGTGATAACTCTCTTGCATGGCAATTTTGTATTCTTCACTCCACCACGGTACGGATCATTTTCTGATTTTTTGCTGTTTAGGAACTCCAAAGGCTTTGTTTGCGGCTGATGTTATGGTTTGTTGGAATTCGTTTATTATTTTGTTAATCTAGAATGGATCAAATTCAGGGTCTATTTCTTTTTCTGTGAGCGTTATATTTTCTTGGTTTACTGGTCAGTTTGATTTTCTTATATTCCATTTTGACCGATGGTATGTTTAAGCTAAGATAATATTATCTTTATAAGCAATTTTTATGGGGAAGTGATCATGTTGGAATGTGTCAGTAAATGCTGTGAGTTGTGTGAGTTGGATGAATTGTGATCATCTTTCTTAAACAAAT